GTGATCAATGGCCAGTTGGTAGGTGGCAAGAAGATGAAGAACAATAAGCTGAACACGTACTTTGGCACCATCTCCATATACTCTGAAGATGCAGGGGTGAAGGTGGTGGTGAGGACCAGCAGGATCGATCTGATGGAGGGCAAAAACAATCACTCTTTCTCCTGGGCAGCCACAGCCAAGCTTAATCTTAACAGGTAATGCAAAGCTAGTGATGCTACAGAAGAGACATTGTGATTTTATATGGGGATTTCTACCACTTAAGTACTTAAACTTTTTAATTCTTCAGTGTCTTATCTACTTTCACGTTAGTTACATAGCAGTTACTGAGTTATTCATAGTAGATACTGAATTATTCATAGTGGTTACTGAAAAATTTGTACTGGATAGTCAATGATTCATAGAAGTTACTGAGTAATTTGTAGCAGTTACTGAAAAATTTACAGTGGACACTGAATAATACTTTGTGGTTACTAAACAATTCCAGGTAGATACTGAATAATTCATAGTATATATTGAATAATTCATAGTAGTATATACCGGGTAAAATGTCTTAAGATTGAATACTAAGTACTGTTTACTATCAAAGTTCAAAAACTTAATTAATTTCTGTCTATAAAAGAGTTTGTTACCGTTTAAATCACGGACAACTGCTGCAAAATGTCTTTTGTACTGTCAAATTGATTTCTGTAATATAGTACAGTGGAAGCTGCTTAAAGGAGAATTCCACTGATTTTTCAAGATGTCCATATAATTAAATTTATTAGCTGTAAACAGAGTCATTCAGAACAGTTTGAAGTGAAATGCTCCATTTTAGAGAAATTTATCAAATCAGAATTGTTCACAGTGGCGATGATTGATCTCTAAGAGCTACATTCACAGAAAGTGATTGCATGGCATGATTACGAATAAACTGCCTGATGGCAAAGACATTCAAAATGCCATCACTAAATGCTTTAAGTAGTAAAGTAACTGACATTTTCTGTCATTATCTGTTTAAAAGACATTAAAAGGGAAAGTGACAGCTGTGTTAAAACATGTTTAAGTCATCAAAGAATTAATTATAGTACATTATTACAGCTTTATGAGGCATTAGAGTTTACAAGTACGCTTACAAAGCATTGTTACCACATTACAAGGAGTTGTAAGCACATTTATAACCATATATAAATACAGTCTTCATAGAAAGTGTTTCTACGACTTAATAAAATAATAAGCCTGCAGTTAGTAAGTTAAATTGCAGCACAAAAACTCAATTGTCTGTCTATGCATTAGAGATTGAGTTACCATTAAAAGCGTTAATAATTTTAAGATTAATAACTGAATGATAAGCATGCAGTTAAAGAAGTTGCAGTGCCAGAAAAACAACAACAAAAAAACTATTTTCTGTCTATGCATGTGAAGCAGTTATCTTTAAGGCATTGACAGTAAAAATACTACCAAACTTTATCTTGCACCGTCAAATCTATTTCTATAACATGGTGCAGTGGAAGCTGTAATATGTGAATAATAAGCTTGCAGTTTAAGAGATTAAATGGCAGCACCAAAGCTCTTTTTCTGTCAGTGCATGTTAAATAGTTACCATTTCAAGCTTTGAGACTTGATAAAATTGTTGAATTCGTTTCTGTAAGTTAGTTCAGTAGCAGTATTGTGTTTCTTTAACATTAACTTTATCGTCAAATATACTAACATGTTTTATCCTTGGGGATCAGTATTTTAAACCTCCAGGAAATACAGGCACTACTACAGGCATGGTTAAGTTAGGTTAGGGCCCTAAATCAGTAGGGAAGTTTTTTGAAGAGTATAAAGTTGCATGTTATAGTGACCTCAATATCATCCAAAACAACCAAAACAAAAGTGTGTGTAAAATGTTGATGTTGATTGAATGTTTTATACAGCAAAAACAGCCTGGGGTCAATCGGACCCCAAATAACACTAATGCATACAAAATGTGTACAGTACTTTAAAAACCACTTCATGTTAATTTTATTTTCACCCAGTTGTCCCCATTAAATTGGAAAAAGTCATTAAAGATGAAAAAATGAATTCATTTAATTAGAGATGTTAAATACTGAATGGGGTCAGGGACCCCAAAGATAATAGGAGGGTTAAAAACTTCACTAATTAATGAATGCGTTACTTTTGTCGTCAGGGTGAAGGTGGCCATAGAAAAGGAGCATAAGATCACAGTGACGATTGATGACAAGATCTCAGTGATGGTGCTTTTGCATCGCGTGTGGAAGAAACATCTGTTTAACGTGGACTTCCTGGGCTTCTACACACCCAACGATAACCAGTACTCCTCTCAGGTCCATGGCCTCATTGGTGCGTCTCAGGTTTTTGAAAAAACTTTGTTTATTCAAGCAGGGCCGTAGACAAAGCATGCCCTTTTTCACAAGTTTGTCTTTCAGTTGACTTTCGCCAATAATTATGTTGATCTAATATACTGTATGTATACTCTATTTGAAACAAAGGAAAGTTATGACAAGTAAAACGAAGAAGAAATATTCAAGATTCTGCACTATTTTTAGGGCACTATTCAAATTTAAGCAATTTTTTTTACATTGACCATGTTGAGGCCTTTGTACAAGAAGGTCATATTAGCTATTTTCGGTCTTATCTCTTCCAGTGAAGCTTGTTCAAATGACTCTCAGGTGGATTTAATCCACTCATCAGAGGCTTTCGCACAAACATGTGGAGTGTGGTGCCAGCTCAAGTGCACATGCTCAGACTGCACTGTGTATTTTAAAGAGGCATTCCAGCCTAATGGTAGTAAAACTACCATTTAATATGTTATTTGTCATGTTATGTAGTATTCTGTAGCGCAGATTTGCATCCCTCGGCCTTATTGGTTTGACAGAATTCATGATACTATATCCTTTCCCTGCTTTCTTCTATCAAAAAGATTTTAAACAGCCTGTCCCCCGACCCCCCATACTCACCCCAAAACAGTTGTAGTTTCTCCCACTTTCAACATACTTCACCAGATATGGGTTTTCCTACAATGTAAACCAGAAAATCTCATTGAGACTATTGTGGGATCACTGCAGGATGCACTCAGGCGTGTTTTCAACAGATGTAGCAATGGTTATATTTTTCATTTGGGCCGGAGTGTCCCTTTAATTGATTGCACCCCCACACTGGAATCATACTGAAAGAGAACACAGAGATCATTTAAATGCAAGATTGTTTGTTTGTTTGTTTGTTTGTGGTTGTGGTAGATTCATTCATGCCGTTAGGTTATATAATTATTCACTCTTATTATTTAACACAAACACAAACAACCAACCTGGGATCCTGGGAACCCACAGAGTGCACATCACACGTGTGTGTGTGTGTGTAGGTCTTGATAATTAGGTAATTAGGTAATAACTGGTGATTTGAAGCAGGAAAAATACAAAAAATGATCTGTTATCTTTGATGTGTTTGTGTATTATTTTAAAACAGGGCAGTTCATAAATGAGCCTGAAGTGAAGGTGTTTGACGTGCGTGAAGGAACAGAGCCAGAGAAGAAACATGCCACCATGGAAGTGAAGGGCAATAAGCTCACCGTCACCAGGTACCCCACACAGTCCACACCAGTAGGCCCCTGCACTCTTATGCTGGCTCTACACTGTGAAACTTTCATGTAACTTTAGCTGCTTGAATCTTACATGAAACTAAATTTCAGTCGAGTTGCATGATGTAAAACATATTTATGTTTGGTAATTTACCTGCTTAAACACACATAATTACACTCATCTGTTAACTGCCAAATTACACACAGCCATGCTGTTGTAACGCATGCAGAATGTGGCTTGCCGCTGTCACGTTGAAATACGCATGGTTGTCCCAGAAAAATACGTCATCAAGGAGGCAACAAATGTGCAGATATCTTTCAGTGTTAATGGTGCATTCACAAATGTGCAAATTACCCCTGCCAAGGGAACTAATACATCCCCATCCCATGATAGACGTTGACTTTTGAATTTTACACTGGTTACAGTCTGGATGGTCCTTTTTTTGGCAGAGAACACAGCGTCCTTTAATTCCATAAGCAATCTGAAAAGTTGACTTGACAGCACACAATACATGACACCAGTACACATGTGCAGGTGTTTCTGGACGTTGTTATTACATGTAGTAATTTCCATCACAAATGCACACTTTTTTTAATGCTGTGCCGTCTATACCTAAAATCCTCGCAGTCTCTGATTGAGGAACATTAGGCCTCGTTCATCAACCATTCTTAAGAAGAAATTTTTTCTTAAAACCCATTTAGTCAGTTTTTACAAAGATTCTGACATTCGCCAATGTCTTCTTATTCGGGATTTGTTCTTAGGTAATAACAGAATCTATATACACTCGAGCACAAAGGTGTGAAAAATTCTGTGGTTTAAAAACACATCATGAATCTGACGTAGACTTTTTTTGGACCTTTGTCAAGAATAAATGTAAGAAACTAAGGAAGATATTGGTAAAAGAGGCCCGTTGCTGATAAACTGCTGGATTATAAATCTCTGTATTTACACACAAAATGGGCTTATATACAGTTCCAGAACCAAATCCAGCTATAATCTTTAATCATGATCACATGGAATAACCCCACATTTCCACTATTATGTACATAAACACAGTAACATGACTTCAGAGATGTTTTTCTAAGTAAAGCTCTGTTATGTGTGTGTGTGTCACACAGGGGCTGGCAGAAAGACTACCGAAACGATAAGAAGCACGGTTCAGATGTTTATTGCTGGTTTGTCCATAACAGTGGCAAAGGCTTCATTGACGGCCACTACAGCAACTACATCGTCCCTGACCTCGACAGCTTCCTCCCCCCTCTCTGAGTGTGTGTATGTGTGTGAGTCTGAGTGTGTTGTGTGTTTGTTGGAACAAAAGCAGAGAATGGGGTTGCTAGAATTCTGATATTCTAAACAGGAGAAGAAGTTGTTCATCTATACAAGAGATTTTATTAAAGAAAATGTATGGAAACAAGACTGGATGCCAACAAGAATGGGCGGTGCTTTATATGCCAATTACCAGTAAAATGAATTGAATCGAATTAAAGAGTGTACATTGTTCAAACAGTATAGACATTCTCCTTTCTTTAAATGTCACTGTGAATCCATTCAGATACTTGTGTTTACATCATAGTACACTTTAATTGTAGATGATTTTAGCTGTAGACACTGCTGATGACATTGCCAAATAAAATGAAATAAAAATAAAAAAGAAAGAAAAGGGATCCTGAAGAACACTCTGACACAGTAGAGGCTTCCCAGGGTGGATGAATTCAGCTGTACAGTACAAAAAACACCTCAAGCCTGCTTGGAAAAGTCTTCATACGCAATGCCCTCCACTCTCTTCCCTTTCATATGACCCTGTTGCGTAAAAAGAAACACACTATGTATTCATGGTAATGCAGACTTTAAATAAGATAAAACATATGTATGTTAACATAAGCTTGACATTTTGATTGGTATTTAGAAACATGGCTTAACAGCTTTCAGTAAATGGATATTAACATCTCTAATAAAGCTTACCGAGTCTATTGAGAGAGTGGCAGAGAAATTTTTCTCATCAATGCCCTCCAGAATGGCCTCTGCGTCCCGATACTGTCCATTCACAATCACTACTCGCTTACCTGAGAGAGAAAGAAAGAAAGAAAGTGAGAAAGAGAAAAATGGGCTGATGCATTGATCTGAATAGATTATATTCAATAATAATAGTATTCAGTATCTGCTCATTTTTGATCAAAATAAAGTTTTGGGCTACTTTCAAACATAACAAAATGTTAGGTGTTTTATTTTTATTTTCTGTATTCCACTACTATGTAAATGATCCCCCCCATTCACACTTTCACACACATTCCGTGTATGTGAAAAAATAACTTGTATCATCAAATCGAATCACTGTTAAATCTGAGATAAGACAACCAGTATCCAAGTTTACACCGCCTTTATAGAATAATGGCTAGAATCACATGCAGCCGTTGTGATGTGTTTACCTGGTGCTGGGATGACTGTCTCCAGATGGCTTTGGTCCAGTTTCAGTTTGTCACCTGAGTCGATCATCTTTACCACAGCTGTGTACTTATCCTGCACCTCCTGGAAAAACACACACACGTACCACATATACAGATACTAAGAATGTGCACAGTACCATACATGTTTACCCCAAAATGACCACTTAAGAGTGGGGCTAGCTAATCTTGAACTTTGCTCACTGTAGTGTCTATGCTTCTCATTGCCTTGAAAGTTCTACATTTGTAAAATCCAAAATACTGAGAAGGTTCAACATAAACTGTTCTGGCAGTGCATTTTTGCTGAGTTGAGAAAGACACTGCTTGAGGTCATACAGTCTTATGCAAATATTTGGGCACAACAGGTCAAATTATGTTTTGTTGATATTCTAAGTAAAAAAATAAGTTAATACATCCCTCTATAAAGAACACCCTTCTGCACATTTCAATGCACACTTATTGTTTATTGGCCACATTTAACAAATTGGGGGAAAAAAAAATCTAACAAAATGTGGCCTCAGCAAAAGCTATGGCACATTTTATATTTTGTTTTAGTGTTTTCCAATATGTCTGCCCAATGACTGCTGGGATAAGATCCAGCTCCCTCCGTGACCCAGAAGGATAAGCGGCTTAGAAAATGTGTGTGTGTGTGTGTGTGTGTGTTTTCCAATATGTTACACTCAGCAAAAAAACACTAACTGTGCACTAAAATTTGCAGATATGCCATATTTAAGTGTTCTCTCTGTAGAGGATGTGTTAACTTTAGTTTCACTTCAATTCAACTGCACCTGCAACAAGACTTTCTGCTAGTTTGCTGGGTTAATAACTATCTATAACTAATCTATTATAAGCCTACAACAACCAGGCTGATTCAAAAATTGAATATAAATGTTTAGCTAAATGTTTAGCTACAAATTTATTCATAGTTTATATCACATATTTATACTTACAAAATAATAAATACAATAACTTATAAGTAGCAAAAGGCAACAAAACAATAAGCAGTATCGATAAGAATAGCAGTACTGATACAATCCCATTTCAGTGGTGACTGACCCGAATGACCGCTTTCTTCTTGTAGTATTTGTCTCCTAGTCTTTTGGTGATGACTTTGACCACTATGTCTGGCCGTATCCAGTTTTCTGACCTCAGTGACTTCTTCTTCTGCTCTTCCATCTGTAAATGGGAAAAAGAGTAGCAATTCTGGGATATTGTTGGGTAAACTCATCAAATATTAACCACAGTGTTCCACTGTACAAGCAGTCAACCAGCTACTGAGGTGAACACAGACCTCCATGATCTCATCCAGTGCAGATTTCTTTTTCTTGTCTTTGGAGTTGGCGCTGTGGGAGTGGTCTTTCCTCTTGGTAGAAGGGGTGACTTTAAACCCACTTGGACCCAGAGACGAACTGCGAATTACAGGGGAAATAATAATATTAATAAAAAATACTATTTGTACACGCAAACGTTTTACATCAAGCATCATGACATGGAGCAACTTGCAAACAGTACTCAGGCATTTTACATCATCTAAACAAACATGAATGGAGTGAAGTACTATGACATGAATGGAGTGATGTACTACGACATACATGCATTAGATCAGGGCACTATAAAGTGCAACTTTTGTTAAGTGTTTCTATGCTGACAAGGAATCAGTCTGGTTGCAACCATCTAAGTGTTGACCTTATCACCAGAAGATCACAGGTTACCAGATCTCTTTCTCAATGGACCAGGTAAAACTTCACTGTGCCATTCTAAAGTCTCAAATATTGGAAATATTTCTCCAAAATGAGACACCAGCATATTGAATGGAACCTTGTTTCGCACCTAGTGGACAGACCAGGTAGATCATTGATCCCAGATTCAGATTTTACAGACACAATCAAAGTGCAAAAGACAATAACAACAAACAGACGCATTTGCATTTCGTGGTGTGCATGGAAACAACAAGAGCACAGTACGAATAATGAGTAAACACCTAGTGCACTTTTAATTTGGGTATGAGATGTGGGTTACTGTTTGTATGCAGCATCGCTGTGATAGAGTGCTACCTTGCTTTAGAAGGTCCTACAGCGGCGCTACTGCCCAAGTTGAAGGTCACTTTCTCCTCCTCATTGTCTCTCTTCAGTTCAGTAAACACTGGCTCCTCCTGCACATGAAGACAGAGAGAAAAGTGATTATAATAAAAGATGCAGCTGAGAATCTCTGCAAGCATCTCTCTCTCACACACACACCAACACACCTCAGGCTCCTTGCCCTCTCTGCCTCGCCGCACTTGTTCTTCAATGAACCTGGCACTGCGCTCTTCATCGTCCAGATCTTGCTTCTTCTTCTTTTCCAGCTCTTCCTGCCTGCGGATTGTTTCTGGGTCCCGATCGATGTACTGAACGTACCAGCCCTTCGGCGTTTCGTCCACTTTACAAAAACCTACACACATACACAAAACAGATATGTTTGAGCAGAGTCTACCCAGGTACTTTAATAATTTAAAGTTAAGTGAGTATCTTATATTTTATGATTTTTAAGTAAACAGAGTACTGTAGTTCAGTAATACACTACCATCCAAAAGTGTGTAATCGCTTTTTAAAACTTTGCAATCAATGTTTTAAAAAGTGAAAACACAGTCTAGTTGCAGATAAGTGTCTGGGATGAACAGAGCCATAGAAAATTCTGAAATGGCTGAGAATTAAAGGAAAATGCCATCAATTTTTTTTAAAGTTCTGTATAATTAAACTGTTAAGATACAAAAACAGAGCCATTCGGAGCTGTTGGATGTGAAATGCTTCATTCTAGAGAAACCTATCAAGTGACAGGAACCAGACATCTGAAGTGTTTTAATACTTTACTTACTGTCCTTCAAGGTAGCCTGGTAGGAATACAAGTTTCCTCAGAAAAAGTGTTTACAAGAAACGGCTACGAATACGCTGCTAGAAGTCTGACACATTGTTTTACGATAGTTTTGAGAAAGTTTTCAACCTTCAATGTATTATTAAAATCCATTCATGGCAGAGAGGTACACAGAGGGAGTTATAAGGCAAAATAGTACCCAAAGCAAACCTTTTCACTATTTTATCATCATTAACATTACATATAAAAACTCAAAAAAGACAAGTGTAGGGTGGTGTAGGCTATTATTTGTTTTGTACACATTGTGACCTATCATCACAATAAAGAAATCATAAAGATCATAAATCATAAGTCAGTTTCTAATAAGTTTATCTGCAATTAACCATTTCACATTAACCCACTCTAAAGGACACTGGAAAAATCTGTGGGATTCCCCTTTAAGTTATGATAAGTTATGTTTATATCCTTTAAGTTATGTTTATATCCACAATTACTATCTGGATATTAATTAAAATTCAGAATTTATATTTTAAAGCTCAAGGCAGACATATATACAATATATTATTTATCATAACTTCTCTGTCAAAAAATACAGAATATTAAATAAATCATCTAAAAATACCTTTTGGCAAACAGTGTATAATATTCAAATCCTGTATAAGTTATTACTGCATATAAACTAACAAAATATGTTAATATAGCAAGTAATTCCAAACCTTTGAAAAGCAGTGTGTGTATATTTGTGCTTACCTTCTCTTCCCAGCCATTTAGTAAAATCTGTGAGAGTCTCCCACTGGGTGGCGTTCATGTGAACATGTTCCCGATTACTGATGTACTCATTATACACAATGTTGTTGTGAACTCGCTTCGTCCCTGCAAATACACATAGAGAAATAGGGACGCTGTATTAAACAATAATAAGCAGATCAGAATTATTGTTGGACCACTCATCATGAAATGTTCACACAGTAGAAACGATAGCTGACATTTTCAAATGGTGTAAAAGTAACAAAAGTGGAGTTATGAGATCATGATGACAGTAATGATATTCAGACTCCTAGTCATGATTCCTTGTTGAGCACTCAAGAGTTAGAATCTAACCGAAACGTCTTCTGAGCAGCTCCAAAAAATCACTCTTAAACTCCCTGCAAAGAAATAAAAAAAAAAAAGAGTTATAATCATAAGCCTTATTAAAAGCAGAGGGAACATTGGAGATACAGTAACACATAACATTCAACTGGCTGACTCACTCTGAAAAGTAGCTCATAAACTGGTTTGGATCCTCTGAGGCTAGCAGCAGCTGTCTCTGGTGGGACTCGGACAGGCAGTGGCATTTAAACCCATTCTAACAAAAGGACACAGAGGTAGCAGCATTAAATTAGTGTATTCCATGGAACCGATCTAAGTAATGCAAGCAATATTAACTGCTACTCTACTTTGGACTTAAATTCTTAATTGGCCATGTTTCTAAAATGACAGTGAAATTTCAACATTTTAGCCTCGCTGACACATGAATACACTTCAAAGTAGTGCTGGGTGGTTTTGATACTATTCAATCACAATATTGAATTATATTTATGTTTGCATAACTAAACTTAATCCATGCTTCCTGTGTGTTGCAACTTGATTGATGATTAAAAAAGCCTTACAAAGCTGACATAACCTGTTTTGATTGGACTGTTCTTTCTCTTCCGCTTTTCTTAAGATTATACAAAAAAATTTAGAAAACTAAAAGGAAACTTATACTTATTTACACTTTTTACTTTATTTACACCACATTTACATAAATAAAATTTAGTATTTTGCTAGTTTTTATATATTTTGAACTTCTTTCCAAACACTTAGGAAACGACATGCAGAACATTAACTCATTTTAAGTAATAGTCTTAAATTATTAAATACATGACAAAATACCGCCAATGACCCAGTTTCAATATCGCGATATACTAATATACACGGAACATCACCCAGCACTACAAACGGCGACACAGCAGCAGCGACCTAAGAACCTGAAGGTGGCCAAACGCTCAGAAACTAACCATGACTCATTCTTACAAAGCATTAAAACCACAACCAAACAAAACACACCGCAATACAGCCTAAATACTGTAACACCATATTCATAATAATCAGATTTTAGAACATGCCCGTAAAAGACGCCCAGCTCAGACACAGAACTCACTTCATCTCGACACTGTTTCTGACACATCTGGCAGTACCAGCGCAGCTTCTGAAGACCTTTCGCTTTAATCCTGTTACTGATCGCCTTTGGACTTAGAAAATCAGCCTTCCCCATTTCGAAGACAAGGTAGAGACACAAACAGCCGACCCAGTCAGTAAACTAACTTATTTATTAGCTACTCCGCCTCGGATTCGGCTGCTGTGTTTTCCTGCCTCGCTGATTTGTTTGTGTGCGCATGTGTTCTACGTCATCATTTCTTGTGTAGCTGTAATAGGCAGCCAAGTGAAAGACTCGTTTTTTTTTAATCGGTTCTGTTCACTGATTTGGTCGAATCACTACGTAGTTGTAGTAATATTTGTTTTTATACTAATATTAGTATGTTTCTGAGCAAATATACTGCACAATGCAATGTTATTGACTGATGTAGCATCATCACTGTGGATTTGATTGCATTTTTAAAATCAAGTGCAAACGTTCGTGGTAAATATGATGCCATGAATCCTTATTCTAAAATGATAAGACTAGTATTGCCAAGAAAATAATACCACTTGTTGTGGGTGAATTTAACAGACAATTACAATTTGCAAAACAATGTCTCACTTTCTCTATGGAGGAGTTGGGAATAAAGATTGAACTGACTCTTGAATCAGACGTTCAATTCTAAAGAATCGTTTCGGTGAACTGAATCTAACGTCACTAGGATTCGACATTTTGTAGGCGCTTTGCGCATGCTCAGTGCGGCCAGTCTGACCTTCATTGCAAGCGAACATGTTCGCCAGGGCCAGCGCGGCGGTGTTCCTCCCACAATGGTAATAGATTCAAAACTCGTTTTTATATGCTTTTCTCGTAAATTACATCTTGCAAAGTGTCTTTATTATGCAGTCGAGGCGTCTAGGAATAGATATTGGCTGATAATTAAGTCAAAACCTTGCAAGGACGTGCCGGTCCCGGTAGGCCGCATCTTGACGTTAAGCTAGAGGCATTAACGTTACGGAGTGGGTGAACTTCACCACTTTGACAATTATCAGTAACAGCTCTTTGACCTAACTAACAACACTTTATATTTAGTATAATATATAGATGGGTTTTTGTATGCATAAATACAATAGATTAGGTTTGGTGGTTTGACCTGTTGTTGCTGTATTGGACACGCGCCGCATAGCAGGGACGCCGATTAGGTTCCTATTTGCGAACCTTATGTAAACGTCTTATCTTAAATGTGTTCACATAAAGCATATTACATTTTACGTGCAACGTAGAAATTAAGATTTTTTTTGTGATTGCCACAAAGTTGAAACTTTTAGTAACTTTAATCTGACTGTTGACTCACTTGCTCATTCAATGAATCCTTGTTTTTGCAGTGGGCAGGTCAGGAACATGGCTACCTTGAAGGACAGTAAGTAAACCATAATATTGTCCATGAAGATACTTTGACATTATGTTCTCTTCTGTATGTATGTCTGATAGTATTTGCCAGCATGTATCACTCCACAGTTATTACTGTTAGACTATACATACTACACACACTGCAGATTCATACAGGATTCAGATCACTCCACAGTTATGACTCTCAACACTGGATGTAGTATTTACAGTCTGACTCTTACTGGAATAAAATCACTTTGCAGTTATTACTGCTGTAGACTGTACAAACTGTGCACACTAAGTTCATACAGGATTAGAATTACACCAAAATTATAACTGTCAGACTGTAAAAAAACATGCTCACTGCAGAATCATGCTGGATTAAAACCACAGATGGTGGCATGACCTGGTGAAGCATTTCTGTCACTCATAATGTCCTTGAACTGTTTTAATCTTTAGTCACCATTAGGTTGAAGTCTGTCAAGAACATCCAGAAGATCACCAAGTCCATGAAGATGGTGGCCGCCGCCAAGTATGCTAGGGCAGAGAGGGCCTTGAAGCCGGCCCGTGTCTATGGCACCGGCGCACTGTGTAAGTTGTCAAATGTTTAGTAAAATGTAGCCTTCCTTACAGCTGCTCAACGTCTGATATCACAGAAAACAACATGCTAATGAGACTTCTGTCAAGTCTAATATTTTTTCATATGCTTTGAGCAATGAACCAGCTATTGACATGCCATGTAATATAACAAAGAAATGCTCAGAATAATTTTGATTGTTTCAGGGGCTTGTGTTTGTGTTTTTTAGCACTGTATGAGAAGGCTGACATCAAGGCTCCAGAGGATAACAACAAGCACCTGCTTATCGGTGTGTCTTCTGATCGTGGGTTGTGCGGTGCTATCCACAGCAGTGTGGCCAAAGCCATTAAGAGTGAAATCGCCAAACTCACTGGTGCTGGCAAAGAGGTCATGGTGGTTAATATAGGGGACAAGCTCAGAGGCCTGCTTTACAGGTATGTTTTTTTTTTTTTCTTTCTGTCTTTTTCTTTCTTTGTGTGTTTTATTGTGGTTTAAGCCCTATCGGAACTGGATTATTTTTTCCAGAGGAGGTTGTACAATGTAATTGTGGGGATTTGACTGGTCAGTTGCTTTGGTATGAATAACAATCTGTATCATTTCCCAAAATTTGCACATATTCTTTGGATTGAAATGTCATGTCCCGGCAGCTCAGTGACAGTATCAACACACTGCATGGCCTTGTCTTTTTAGTGGATTTTGGTATTCTGTTAGCTTGAGGTGAACTGGAGCAAAACTCCAGTCAACCTTACCGAGGGAGCTTGAGGCTGAGTCATTTACAGAAGGCCATTTACTCCACAATTATTATTGTCAGACTGTAAAAACTACACACAATACAGATTCGTACTGGATTTAAATCACTCCACAATTTTCCTGTCAGCGTGTAAAAACTACACACACTGCAGATTAATAGGAAATAAGAAATTATAGGACCTGTAAAACTAATCCAGCACCAATAGGGCTTTAGTCTGAACACATTAATCACAGGCGTATTAAAGTAAAATGTTTTCTGGAAAATGCAACACCAGGGCATGTTCTGAGAATCTTTTTTTCCCCCCCTTTTCTTTAAATATCCATTTTTCAGGACCCATGGCAATCACATCCTCATTAACTGCAAGGAGGTGGGCAGGAAACCCCCTACATTCACTGACGCTTCTATCATTGCCACAGAGCTGCTGGACTCAGGCTACGAGTTTGACCAGGGCACCATCATCTATAACAGATTCAGGTCAGTGCCCTGCATAACACAGTATAGTGTTCTGCAAGTACGTGCTTAGGGGTGCTTTGATGCCTGGTGAATCTGGTCAGAAGTTTTTTTTTTTTATTAAACCACATTTACATAAAGTGATCAAATATTCAGTAAATATTTATATAAAAACAAAACTCCAATTTTTATATTTGACATAATGAAGTATCCTTGAGAGCCTCAGGGAAGAAGCTATAACATATCTAGAAAACAGTCACTGAACTAACCATCAACAATTGGCTTATGTCTGAAAATGCCTAACAAATACTCATGGCAGACTACTGCAAACATATACAATGCAATGTTGGATAAAACTAATAGATTATAGGCTATTAAAGACCGTATCAGTTGCCCACCAGACAAAATATTGTAAAATAAATTTAAGTAAATAAATTAAATGAACTAATGATCAAATTAATAAAACAAATAATGCAATTAAAATAAAATTAATAAAATATGTGGTGAAGATGTACAAAATGAGATCAAAGTAGTTCCTTAGTGACCTAAATAATAATACATGTATTATTATTATTATTATTATTAATAATAATCTTTTTTTATTATTGTGCAGGTCTGTTATTTCATACAGGACAGATGAGAAGCCCCTGTATTCCGTGGACACAGTTGCAAACTCAGGTATTACTGTGTCCTGTTTTCAGAATCCACAGCTATTGCCTAATGTTTACTGTATTGAATTCTTAGTTTTTGTAGGAGTACATCATATGTAAGGTTAATATTATGTAAATACTTAATTACTGTTAATTACTGTGTAATGCAGAGAACATGGGCATCTATGATGATATTGATGCTGATGTACTGAGGAACTATCAGGAGTTTGCCCTGGTCAACATCATTTACTTTGGATTGAAGGAGTCTGCCACTAGCGAGCAGAGTTCTAGGATGACCGCTATGGACAGCGCCAGCAAGAACGCCTGTAAGTAAAGACTTCCATTAAACAGCATACTGTTCTAAAGGGTTTGTTTTCTTATATGACTTTCACAGTTATACACTTAAACGTAAATATTGGAGCGATGCCATAGAAGAACCATTTTTGATCCCTTAAATAATCTTTCAATGGGTGTTGTGTTTTTGTTTTTTTTGTTTTTTTTTTTCTTTTTTTTCTTTTTTTCCTTTTTCTCTCCCCTCTAAAGAACCATTCTGTAAATGACGTGAGTGTGAAGAACTCTGTTAAAGTTTATAGAACCTCCCCATCATATAAAGGTTCTATATCAAGTGAAGGTTTTTCCTAGAACTGTGTGTTCAATCCATTAACCATTTACAAACCTTTCACTTCAACATAAAGGACAGCTGGCATTTTCAAGTGGTGTAAAAACAGAAGATTTTCTTAACAGTGATGAAATAAACTGTATTAAGGTGGAATTAATTAGACATTTTGATATGTTTCTAAAACTTGTCATACACATTTGTTATATTTTTCCTCTCTTACAGCGGAGATGATTGATAAGCTGACCCTCACCTTCAACCGCACTCGCCAGGCCGTCATCACCAAGGAGCTGATTGAGATCATCTCTGGAGCTGCTGCACTGTAAGTTTTCGCTCTCTCTGTCTGCGCATTTATTCTTTCATTCATTATTTCTGTGTGCTCACATTCATTTATTTGTTATTCTATGTACTCACATTTATTTAGATGATCTACGTGTGTTCATTCTCACTTCCCTTTCTCTTTCTGATTCATTCACTTCTCTCTGTCTACATACATTCAAACATCCACTCACCTCACTTATCTCTTTATCTGAAGACATTCACTTATCTCAATGTCTGTCTATATATATATTCATTCATTCATTCATTTTCTCATCTTGCTCTCATTTTATTTATTTGTTCATTCTTTCATTCATTCACTCAACTCTCTCATACATACATGTGTTAATTCAGCAGTTTTCTGTCAGCATGGCTTCGTTCTGTTTCATGCCTTCATTCATATGTCTGCTTATGTTCGTTCATTCAGTCATTTATCTTTGTACATTAACTTATTCAGTTATAACCGTATGCTCATTCATTCATTCGCTCACCTTTTTAATCTGCTCAAATGCA